TTTTCTCTCCTCCCCTCTCTCAGAGTTGGCGCATGCCCCCAGCAATCACTGAAAAATGTCAGTTTGCGTATGTATAACTTTATAAAAAAAATAACCTTTATTTTTTTCCTCCTATTTCTCTTTTTTTTTTCTAGTAAATGTTGACTTCTCCTGTCAAAGGGACACTGATAGGGTATTTATGCTCAACGAGGTTTTTAGCTGCCTATGAAATATTAGAGCCCAACCACCCCGAACAGAATTTGCGGCTTGAAATTCGGTTTCTCTCTGCCCGAAAACCGCCAATCGACAACTGTCCGGTTTGAGTCGCGCTCGCTCTCTTCTCCGTGGTGACGGGCCGTTTTCTAAGGTTTAGACAAAACCACCAAATTTAATCAAAGTCGTGGGTTACTGAAGGCACACACTCAATATTAAAAAATAGATAAAAAAATAAGCCCATTTCTTGTGGATTCTAAAAAAACTGCAAATACAGTGATTGAAAAAAAAAAAAAAGTTCCGTAGAGAACCAGGCGCATTTTGTGCGTTCACTGCGTAATTCTCACCATGGCGTGGTATCGCGTATCGTGGGACTCCTATTGAAAATTCCTATTTTTATGAGAAATTGTTGTGTCCAATAAACACATATAAATCATAGAAGATATATAAGGACATATACGAGCCATATAATAAATATAAAAGAATTATATAAGAACATACAAGCGCCATATAAGAAAATTGGGAGACGTTTCTCATAAGTTTCTTATATGGTTCTTATATATCTTATATAGTTATTATATTATTCATATATGGTTCTTATATGTTCTTATATAGTTATTATATTATTCCTATATATTTCTTATATGTTCTTATATATCTTGTATGATTCCTATGTGTTTATTGGACACAAGAAGTTTGTTATAGAAATGACTTTTTTCACTAGGGTACTCACGGGCTGAACGGAGATGCCAGCGGACGACGGGAGTGGGACCTCACTTCAGAACTGTCGTTCGCGGTACTGGCAAATTTGTCTTCCTTCGAAAGAGAAAACGCCCGACCAGCAAGCGGATTCGCACGAAGACGCCGCCGAGTCGTCGCCCCTTCTCGTGGCTTAAGACGTCGCTCGGTTAGTTGCCCCCTCTTGGTTCTCGTATAAAACGATTTGGCAAAACGACTTTTCAAAACAGCAGAGTAGCTCAGTGGAAAGGTGTCCGCCCCACACGCAACAGGCACAGGCTCATCCCAGAGCCTGGGTAAACTGCTTTACCTTTTTTAACATTCTGCAATATTTACATTTTTTTACAATTATCACTAAAAAAAAAAAACACACGAAATGTTGTGGACGAAACGTTGTTGAACTAAATATTATAAAACTCTATTTTTGACACCTGCGATTATCTCCTCCGACATGATGACAAAATACCCTTCCTTGTCGGACAAAGCTCAGGTATCCCAATGGTAGCGAGGAAGTCGATCGTATGTTCCAAGCTTCTAATACTCGTAGGGGTCTCCTCTGGCTTCTGAATAATCGTCGGCGCACACACCGACGCAACTCCCATTTTGTCTTCCTCCAAAACACGGCGAGACACATCCCATGATAATACCAGCTTGTCCACTCATTTGAGCGCCGGCTCAAAGCAGAACCTCAGCCCCAACTGCAGGATCTGCCTGTGTTGCTCAGGAACGGGTTAGTCGCCAAGGAGGACCAGTGTGTCTTCCTTGAGGTGAACTCCGTGAGCTTGACGGATATTCTTTACCACTTTTAATACCAGTGGGCGGTCCCAGGCTGATGAGGTTTGTGGCCAGGTGCCATCCGTCGCCAATCCCTGAAGAAGCGGACTTGCTGCCACCAGCCTGACCGAAGGATCCGACCGAAGATAGCCTGCTGTAGCTCAGGTAGGCAAAGGGATGTCCTTGTGGACCACGGCGCAGCTCTGACCCTGCCTCTCTGGCATTGAACTTTCACGCTGGTTGCTACAGTTCTGTTTTACTGTATTTTGGGTTTTGAACCTATTTATAATATTTAGGATTTTATAATTAAAATTGATCAAGCTTTCAATCCTGTATTAATGAAATACGTTTATACAACTTCAATGATATTGGTAAACAAATTATCCGCATTTGCAATACACCGATGAAAACGATTTCCTGCATGTTGGTAGTTTGGAAACTTATTTTCGTTGAGCTCGTATTTTCTGAAATGAGTCTAAAATCAACAATTCAAGCATTCAGGCAGCCTTCTTTCCTTTCAAACAGTTATTTTGAATTTGAGCGCAAGTAAAAGTATTTGCTAACTTTTTACATTATAGCAAATCAGATTTGTATCAAGAAATTTGAATGAGATATTCTGGTTCGACATTAAAGCTAATATTTAATCTTCGCTATTCCCGGGCATTTTTTTTATTTAATGTTATTTCCAGTTTCTTGATAGGTGGCGAACGCAAGTGTAAATACTGTTTTGTATATTGTACAAAAAACGACGAAAATAAGTAAATCGTAAGTACCAACAAGAACAACACACAATATAAATGACTGACTTCAACACATTCACTGATATAGGTGTCAAGATGTGAAGAAATCCAAGAAACAAGAACAAATTATATTATGGCTCACACCTACATCCTAGCAAACTAATAAAATTACCAACAACGCAATGCAGAAAATACATGTTAGTTGATAAAATAAAATGTTACAACAATATATGATTCCATGTATTCGTTACACTGTGATTTCATAGTATTTGGTCAAGTTCTTCGGGCGACACGAGAGGTGCTCGAATGAGATAGGAGAGAGATTTGTTTGCAGTGGAGTTTATTGCTTTTTTGTCAAATATGGCCACACATCTAAAAAATAGGAACCCGCGAGGATTGTTCCGAAAATCATGATACTCGTACAGGTTATAAATAAACAAGTTTTGTTCTCAGCAGCGACTGAAATAGTAACTTTTCGAATGGTGACAGCTACCGCTGAAAACAAGTGTAGAAAACGGGGGATGGCATTCAAACAAACAAAAAAAGATTCCTCTTGGAGGCATCATCTTAAACTGAAAAATTTTATTTTTGCTTGTTTGGTCACGCGAATCTTCGAAGTAAAAAAAAAAAGGCACGTGAAACCAATATTTTTTTTTTATTGTAATATATCTTGGATGCTCAGCCTCTCTAAAGTCCTTGAAGGTATTCCTGCACAAACGTGGTTTTTCGTTTTGTTGGCATGATGTGTTCTTTTTTATTCGGTACAATTCTTTGAGATCGAAGAAATTAGCTCCCAACATCTTTGGTTTCGAGATACTCCAGGAAGAGGTGAAAATGCTTGAAATAACAAAAACGATGCAGGCGATCTGGTGAACGTTCAGCATTTTGAACACCCGAGACTAGAAACAAAAAGTGGACAACACACGCGCAGGGTTCCAAACACAACTGCATTCAATAAAACACGAAATTTAATTTAACGATAAAATAATTTATGGTTAAATTAAAATTATCATAAATAAATTCACAATAACAACAATAAAAAGGAAATTTTAAGATAACATAACACGATAAGGTGTTGGGGAGAGGTGCATCCACACAAATTTTGTCTGCACGTTGATTTGAGCACACTCTAAATGAAGTAAGCTTTTTGTCTGTTGCGCTGTTCACACAATGGCATTTTTCTACATTACGTTACGTTACGTTCGTTTACGTCGCTAGTAACCGGGAGATTCGTGCTTAGAATGAAGCGTGGCGAACGGCTCAAAAAGTAGCTTCGCACGCGACATACAAAACATGAATGTTCCAGTGACTCCTCACGTAACGCAAGAATTCGTAAGCAAACGCCTCTGTGTGAACCGACTTTAAAGCTGAGACTAGAAGCTCCGCATTCAGCTCAAGCTAGCTGGTCTCCGCTGTGTTTTGGTTGCGCGTGCCTGCGCGTTCACACTGGTATTAGCAGGGGCTTAAGGTTCAACTCCGCAATCGCGGTTCAAAGCTTGGTAGGGTCGCTTCCGCCTTCCTTTCCCTGGGTAGTGCACGTGCTACCCACCCGGTTATGTTTTAATTTTCATAGTGCATAAAAGCTAGGCATTGCACCTTTTGGCACCAGCAGAGGAAGTTGAAGTATCCTCACTCTGGGTTGTGAAAAAATTCCTCCAGCCGGCGATACCCAAACTTCTCGCGGGGAGTAGGTGCAACCCAGGCTCGGCCCGCCTACCAATGACATCATGTCGAACTGGCACCTTTGTAAATACTTTCTGTAAGATACGTCAATAACAATATGTCAGCAAAAAAAGCTTCTCGGTATGTTCACTAGAATATGTTTGCTTCAGCCAGTGCTTAATTTCAGTCATTAAAGAAACTGTCGTCCCACTTGCAAAGCCTAATTCGTGGAGTCACCAGCTATAATTTTTTTTCGGTGCCGCTTGACGATATATTTTGAGGCTAGCTCACAATATCTGGCAGTCCACTCGAAATTGAGCAAGATCCAATGATGTTTGAAGAAACATGGCTCATCTGGGGTGCAGCCGGTTCTATCATATCGAAAACATAGTCTTAACCCCTCTATTTTCGCGGGCATTGTGTTCCCTGAGTTGTGCAAAATATTGGTTCCGGGAATAGTTAGCGGATATAAAATACGCGATTTGAAATTACGTGCAATACATTTGTCTTCAGAGCCTGATACATTTGCGTGAGATATTTTCCACCATGTTGTTTAAATCGCGATGTTGGCGATAATTAGGTCCTCGCGAAAATCAAGTGGTTTTCAGCAGTGTGCCAGCCTACCATTTTAAAGGTTCCCTACAATGGCTCTCGATGTTTGTGCCACACATCCAATGTAAACCAATACACATAGGTTTGACAGCTATTAGCTAGGCCATCGTAAAAGTGTAATAAAATGTTTGTCCTCTTTATGTGACGGTTTTATATCGCTCTAAGAAAAAAGCAAATCTCATTGCATGTTGATCGGACATAATGTGAAGGCACAATATATTCATCAGAAAATGAAGCACAGTAGTAATCTCGATTTTTGAGATTGTACATTGCTGTAGGACGCGTTTCTACGTATGAAATGCCTTCAATGAAATTATTAAACAGAGCGAGATCACAAGAAAAAGCGCCAGTTCTTGAGCTCAGGAACGGCGACCACTGGCTGACCCCAGCCATTCTTGTTCCCTGCGCTGACTTGAAAGACATACTCGCTGTAAAAAATACATACAAATGGATTGTTAAAGCATTTGATCTGGTGAATACAGGAGTTGAAAGGAAGAAAACCTCCCAATATTACAAAATTTACTTCCAGGCATTGCGACCAACAAATTTATTTTTCCTACTTTTAACTCTAATAAAAATAGGGTGATAACTCATTAGATTATAAATAACATCTCACAATTTCCAAACATGATAAATTATGACTTATCCGTCGAAAAGCCCTCGAAACGTCGATCCCTTCGCTAAGGCTTGAGTCAGATAACGTTTCCTGCGGTGCGCGCAGTAGGTTCCGGAGCAGGCATTTTGCGGCGGGATCAACGTCAGAGAAACTTTTCGCCGTGTTTGACTGCGTTGAAAGCCGTGTGCAGGGATGACCATATCTCATCCCGTATCTCCCACTATGAATTTTGCAGTTAAACATTTATGTCACAAATAAACTATACGATTAGAGCGTTAATTCTTCAACTACATTATGCCCCAGAAAAGGAAAAGAAAAAGAAAAATATAATTAGGTTGTTATAGCTACTTAGATAACTAAATAAAACAGTTTGCCTCTTTGTAGTTGCATCTAGGGCTCCCATCATAGCCCTGACTAAAAAAAAAATACACTAATGCAATTTCTCTTTTTTTTTAAACTGTGGTCGCATTAAAAATGAAAAAAAGAAGTTTAATTTCATAGCAGACGAGCAAAGCGACTCACTGAAAACAATAGATTGTTCTTGTTTTTTTCGGGCAAGGCTAAATCAACAACGAATGTTTGAATTTTGGCTCTTGGGACGATACAATTATTAATGCCGAATTCATTTGAACTGAAACGAAGTTGGGATTTGTGCAGCCGTAGGAGTCGCCGTCGCCGTCGTGTAGCCGTCCGTTCAAATGCTCTAAATATATTGTGCCGAGGAACTGCTCAGCGACCCTGATTCGAAGCACAGGGCACCCTTTCCAACTTTAGCCAGCCGTCGTTCGAAGCGCCACGGTCTTGGAGACGGTTATCACGGTAACTCCAGTTTATCGATCAAGAACACAAATGCTTCGATGCGCAGTCTCTAGATGGCGCTTCAATACAGCGTGATGACAATTGATGTTTTCATGCACATCCTCTAGATGGTGCGTCAAATGATAGCGATCATCCTTCTGGCGAAAAGAAAAGTTCGGTTTTTCGTATTCGTGTCTAAACTGAATTTGATCTAGGAACGGTAATCCATGCCGTCCAAAGGGACACTAGAGTGACGTCATCATCTAAAGTTCTAAACTTTGCAAACTTACGACCAGCTAAGTTTAGCTGGGCGTCATTCTATTTCACGTGGTGATGTTGTATGCGCCATCGGTCACGTGGTCACGTGACTGGTGCCACAGCAAGTCACGTTGTCACGCGACCATCTGACGTGTATCAGCCAACGTGAGGTCACGTGATCGGTACAACCACGAGACACCTGGTCACTTAACCACGTGATGGTCACGTAAAGTCGAATGATGTCACGGGCACCATTACGACACGTGACGTGGTGTAATGAACGTTACTAGATGTACCAAAGTTGTGTGTAACGCCGTACGAAACAAAACGTGACTCCACAACTTGACACCGTGACGACACGTGATCTCCGAGACCGTGCGCGTAATCAGGATACCGTGACGACACGTGACCAAAGTTCACGTCACGCTCTGTTTTGTCATCATGTCATATCATGTTTCGCCAGTTCGAATACGGCGTTTCTTCGCAAGATAAAGTCCCGCTGCAATCGGGTAACAAACGAGCGCAATAGTGCGCGGCGCCCAGGTTAGCATTTCTATCGCATATGCATCTTGGATACAAGAAGTTAGAACTGTAGATTAAAAATCGTCATTCTTTTTTGAAATAATAGGTAGCGAAGCATACCAGGCAGTGTTTGTGGATGTGCGAACCCTAATGCAAACTGATTGCTGTACAAAGCACAAATTCGTATTCTTCTTGCTCAGGGACTGCACTGAGCACAGGACACCGAGCTATGATTGGCTGTGATGGAGGGATGGTCAATAGACCTCTGTGCTAACTACCTTGAGGTCCACCTACTATACTTCCAATCGGAACCAATCAGAGCTCGGCGTCCTAACGTTACCGCAACTTCCTCTCAAGAGGCAGACGTACTTGCGCCCCGCATAGCCACCGACAGTTTATGATAGGCAGGGGGCAGCCTGCTTTGTCCACGCTTCTTGATTAGTGATTTGTTCTTCGGCATTCTTATTACCTAACAACCCAGTCTCATTAGTTGCGAAATGGTAATAGGATGCCGGCGACCCATTGCGCCCCGCGTTTCGAAAGCTGTCAGTGGCTACGGTAAAAATCACATTTAAACATTTCTTGTGAGACATAAAGTGATCTACTCACGTCTGTGGTTTGAGGCCGTAGATATCACATACGCATATTCTCGATGTCGCCTTGTCGCGCCACTGCTTGGACGGTACCTCCCTGTACTGAATTCGGTATCCTGTTATGGGGTGGCCGCCGTTGCTGATGGGTTTCGTCCAGGCCAGTGTGGCCGACGTTGGACCGCTCTCGGTCACAACAGGATCGAGAGGAGGGCCCGGCACACCTATACAAAATAAACGTGTCGTTATCATATATGGGAAAGTCGGAGACGCACATAGTATGTGCCAACGAGCTGGACGCATGGTGCATGTGTGTGTGGCGTCGCGTAACGTCATGACGCTACGTGAATCCGCGACCTCACGCGGCGCCTTGGTGTCACTATATGTGACGGTGCCAGGTGGTACCCTTACGTCAAGGACATTCAAGCAACATAGCCACTTTAGGGCTGTAATGATGTTATCTCTTTGTCCGGTTTGTTGGTCGAGCGCAACGCTCTAGCGTAAAATGCCGCTTCTCTTATAAATCCCAGCCCTATAACCCATAATGATAAATTAAAATACTGCATGTTAGTCATGTTAAATAGAGTAATTCCCGTGTGCATGATGTTATTGTTCTTTGATGATGTCTACCTTTTTTGAACATTTCCTACTTCATTATATTTCATGTTCCTTTAATGTTCTGGAATTACCTTTTCTTTGTAATGTACACTTCGCTTCCTGAACACCAAGCATTGTGCATATACATTGATGTTTCTAAATCAGCGCTATGTTCACCTGTCGTTTTGATGTGTACATTTTTAAACCTTTTTCTACCACCTACAAGCTTTCTACACTTTAGGGGGTCGGTGAGTTTGTATTTGTGGTTGTATTCATAAATAAAAATTATCCTTATTATTTTCCAGGTCGTTTCCCATTGTGAAATTGCTGATATGTCCTGTGCATTATACAAAAAAAAATGCAAAAAAAAAAACTGGAACTTTATAAAATTTGAGCACCAAAAAGAAAACAATCCTAACCTTCTGCTGGCACAGCTCAAGCCCAAAGAAACACCGAACTTACAATACGCATTTTCCCAGAGTGTAGGAAAAATCTTATGTAACCAAATAAACTTTCCCTAAAAAAAACCCCCAAAAAACCTGAATATTAACGATTCGGAAACGTCCTTTTCTTTTCTTTTGGTGTTGATGTCTTGAAATAGAAACATGCATTGCAATCGATCCAGACCCCCCAAAAAACGTCTCGCTACTTAGAGATGACGCTAATATTTGTTTGTTTGGTCTCCGGAAAAGCTTCCTTTGCCGTACACGTGTCCTATACAGGAACCAAGAAACCTTTTATGGTTAAAATTAGCTGTGCGACGATAATAATAAAACGAATAACGAAAAAAAAAACTACTGTGCTTTATTATTCTTGTTGGTAATGCAATTAAACTGCAAAGTTGCAAGCGAGCGGGACCTGGATTATTTTCGTCCTATCACTACTTTAGTTGTTTTTGTTTCCAGGCGTGTCTTCTTTAGACACCTAACAATTGTATTTTTCTGCGCATTCAATATCCCTTTCAGCAGCGGTATCGGGCTTTAATTAAGTAATGCCGAAGTTGTTTTTCGTCCGAACATTTTTTATACCTAGTATTCAATAATTTTCACGTGCTCTCATCGACGATATTGTAGTCCATAAAATGTTTGATGTATTGGAAAAAAAACTGCGATCAAGGCATAGTACGTCTGTATATAGCCTACTTTCTGCGGCTTGAATAGTCACAAATATGGTGAATTCGGGTGATCGCCTCTCTCTTCTGACCTTGACTCAACTTCTTCCTCGCCGCCAGATCTACTCGAGATGCTTTTCAGGCGATCCCCACTGCAGGGCTCAAAGCGCTCTGACATTCTTGGATCAGTCAAGTAAAACTTTTTGATATTGGTAAATGAATAACAAAAACAAATATTTTGCAGAGTACGATGGAAAATTAAGCAAAATTGTACGCTCCCAACGTGATGAAATAACGGCTGTGAAGGACTACGAATTGTTCTATGCACCGACATGTAAAACAGAAAAACAAAGGAAAGAAAGGCAGCCTATTACGACCTCGATTTTGTGCGCTTTGGAAAGAGTGCTTGAAAGCGCACAGAAAGAACCACGCGAATGTTCCAATGGGACACAAATACTGAAAGTGCAAGTCACTGCACTTAATTGATGAACACATAAATAAAATATGACGAAAAGCCATGACGTTGCGCCCTCGACGCTTTTTGAATGGTCACGTCGGCTCATAACATCGGCTGCGCTCTGACTTCAGGAGGCACCACGTACAGTGCTAATCACACTTGTCTATAACGCGCGAGCGTGCGGCTTTCTCCCGGGAGCGCTAGACTGGTGGCATTCGCGGAAACTAAGCTAGTCACGCTGTGCAACATGGAACGGCCCGCTCGAGGGGTGTCCTGTCCACTCTATCAGCTTGATAAGCGATACAAATAAAGTGCTTTATAATATATTATTGTTTTTTGATGACGACATCGTTGATACGCCTCCATGCTTTAGTTCGTTTATTGTTCGAGCAATAATGTTTGTAAAAACTGTGCGAGCAGCCTTCCGCGTTTGCCGCCAGCTGATAGAGTGGTCAAGATACCCCTCGAGCGAGCCGTTCCATGTTGCGCCACGTGACTAGCTTAGTTACCGCGAATGCCCCCCGTCTAGCGCTCCTTGGAAAAAGCCGCACGCTCGCGCGTTATAGACAAGTGTGATTAGCACTGTACCTGGTCCAATTGAGATGAAGCAGGGTTTTTTTTGGCCCACATAAACAAACGACGCTTAGCAGAAATTTAAAACACCGCGAATGTATCGCTACTGGTGAGCCTGGAAGTAGAACCTTGGAGAACATGACATTATCTGGATCAAAATATATGAGGGAAAAACTACATTTTTGTTTGAGCCGACGTTCATGTGAGTCTAGTAGTAATGAAATCAAGATATGCTACTGCTGACGTCTGTAGCATTTATGTTAGTGGAAAATACTTCTTAGCTAAAACAAAAGCACGTTGTATTCTTACTGACAATTCTTTCTTTCACTGATATAAATGCTACAGAAGCTCGCAATGATATTTCCTCATTTGATTTGGTTTGACATAGGTGGTGGTCGACTTATAAAAGATATATGTATATTTTCTGGCGTTTTTAATCTTGATGATATTATCTACTCAAACTATCGCATTGTATCACCACTGCCAGCGTTACATTTTGAAGGGGTTACAGCCTTCTGCTGTGTGCAGTTTATCTGCCGGGTTAAAAATAAACCGGGGTTGATTTTTTCGATCGGGCCGGGTATGTGCTTGGGACACAAATTCTTCGGCAATGCAGTCAAAGCTCATGGAACGCGTGTCCTCAAACTCTGGGAGCTTATGAAAGTCAACATCTTCTTGATAAGAACGGGGGAGTGCTGAATTAGCGGCGTGTGTTGTGTTGTACACTTAAATGTTACCAAGTTTCGGGTGTTGAAGACCTTAAATGTTCTCCAGCTCGCCTACATATTCATGGGTATTTCTACTATAGTTTAAGTGTTTACCGTCCCCAATAATCTAAAAAACGAATTCAAGGATAAAATTTTAGGTGGCTTTGCAGGATTCGCGTCAGCCAGGCATACATCGCTTCGATTGAGCATATAGGTGCCACCTTTTTTCCCTCCTCTCTCTCTACACAAAAGCACCTTTCGTCAAAATGTGCTTAGCACTACTTCATTACCTCCGAGGCGAGTGCGTCTTTTTCACAGTTCGAGACTGTATAACTCATTAAACAAATTACTTACTGCGTGGCTCATAACTCGTCCTAGGGACATCTTCCAAGTAGTTCAATCCCAGCATGCCATAAGTCCTGAAATTTCTTCGTGACCTGAGGATTCAACGAGTTTTCATATCAAAACCGCAAGCTCGATTGGCGAACCTCCTGAAGACAAATGTCAAACATCGTCTTACTTGTAGTAATCGTCTTTGTTTTCTTCAGGAGATAAGACATACGGGGGATCGGCCAACCTTGACGCTCTTTCAACGGCCTCTGATGCATCTGTGTCGAAGAAACGTACTCAGCTGTAGCTTCATTTCTGGAGGAAAAGTCATATTGAGATATACTTAAACAGAAAAGTCGATTCGGAACGATACCTGAGATGCCATTATTGAGAACTAAATACCACAATCTAGATTGCCATTTCCGGTACGTGCTTTTAGTGTAGTACTTGCTCTAACTGAAACGGTTAATTTGTAACTACGTATGCTCTGCCGCCTTCTACCATCCAGTGAACTAAGGAAAAATCAAGATAAGTAGTTACTTTTCTCTAAACTGAACCCCTTAATTTAAACATTTTATTCTTAGCATAGTCTGTTTTTCAATAAATTATGGGACACCTAAATCAGCTGACACGAGTACGAGGATTCTTTTGTGTTATTGTATGCTGTTGGTATCCAAGTGAATAAAAGCAAACTTGAATGTTGTACAAATAAAATAATCACGGTAAATAAGTCAGGAGAGTTCGTCCACTTATGAGAAGACCAAATGCCGTTTTGTCAGAAGCCGCAAGGTTTATGTATCACGAATCAGCTGTAAATTTAATTAACCTTTAAACAAGAGTAAGACAGCGGAGCGAGAGAGTATATGTAAAATATAATTGGTGCATACAGTTTTAATAGGTAAAGTGGAGAACAATGAATATTGCTTACTTCGTCTGTCGTCAACATGAATTTTCTCGAGTCGGCGTCGTTCTTCTTGGAAGTCGCTGCTGCCTTCCTCTGAAAATATTCAAAGCAAAAAGGTCGAAATTATTGATTGTATGTACAGTCCAACGCCTTTTGTGCATAAATTATGTTTTATTTATTTTGCGTGGTATGATTGGACGAAATAAACAATTTGTGAAGTTTTTTTTGCATTGAATAAAAAGTACGTATTGCAATAATACACGTAAATGGTCGATAATCACTGTAACACCTTCAACTGATTTCGAAGAAGTTTCGAATTTCCCCAGCCATGTTTTTCAATTTTTTGGTAACACGGCATGTGTTGTATTAACAAAAACGACACTTATTATTATCATTTTCTGGATGTCGAGAGACGCCTCTCGTATTTTGTAGTTATTTTGATTTTTTTTTTTAATTTTCGTGTGCTTGGAACTTGGAAATGATATTGCGTCTACTTTCTGTAGAACACTTGTCTTCATAAAGTCTAGAAGTTATTCTACAAAATACATATGTTTCTGTTATTCCCCACATGCGTTGTTTAGCAAACATTCCGCATGCAGTGTCTGCCACACCGAATAGCGGTGTCAGTCTTGTGGAATTTTTTTCTTTCATTCTGTATGTTGACTTTGTCGCTTGCCGTTTAAAAACTATTAAGAACAGTTATTAAATAGTTAGGTCTGAACGAGCGGTACAGTAGCAATTATACAAAGTAAATTAATTAAATTTCGAAGGAAAGTGCATCTATTTCAAAACCAGTCTCCATTTGAGACTATCGTACATAAAAGACTACACTACACTACCATTCGATCCATCTCCAAGAACATGCTCTCCGGTGTTAAATTATATCCTACAAACCTGGTACTTTGAAAGCTCGCCAGAAACTGTTGTTTTGTTTGACTAGCACAGTGACTGGCCCCACGAATTATACGGGGTGTTTTCAAGCGCTATAAGACTTTAAAATAACTAAATTAATCCAATGAACAACGTGTAACAAAACAATTCACACAAGTGTTTTTTTGCATTTAATATACAGATGTTTGAGCTGTGCAGGTTTATTTAAAACGAATCAAATCACAAATTCCAGTTAGTTTTGTGCACAGAAAGAAAGACACATAAACCGTCTTGGTCATACTGATACACGCAAATGTTCCCACATAAAATAAATTATTAAGAAAAAAAAATTGAGACATTTGAAAGCAGATGCCGCGGATCTGAGCGTGTGTGGTATATTATATGAGGGTAACAGCGTCAACCACAAGGTTTATTCCCGGGTTTCGTTCCTTTTCATAGAAATAGCACTTTTTTAATCATATTTTGTTTCCAGAAACTCACACTTACAACATTTCAGCACGATGTATATATGCACCACCAAAAGGACACCTCTGAGAAAGTGTTTTGTTTTGCTCCATTCACTGGCCTAATGATGATATTTTTACGCCTTACCAGCGTTCGGGAAAACCCTGTAGGAATACTACACACCCAGGCCAGCAATCTCAAGGATGCTGGTGGAAGCAGCCGTTCCAGAGTCGTTTTCGGCGGTACACGTGTAGACTCCGGCATCGGCGGGCGACACCTTCTGAAGGCAGACCCGGCAGATGCCGTCCCTACTGATGATCACATCCGTTGTCAAGTTAGTCCTAAGCGGCTTTGAGTCCTTCGTCCTGGAAGAAATAAAATGTGTGTTCTACTTCGTTCCACCTTAAATCCGGACGTAGCCGAAGCTACCAGCTAATGGAACCCGTGAAACGCTATTCAAAGAGCAGACACCGAGCCTTCCCTGTACGTGATTTGTTCAGCGATGATGGATCACGCACAGAGACGTGACAAACACCATGTTGACGAACCTTCGATGGAATACGACTGGTCTCATTAGCTGGTTCGGTCGGCCGCGTACGAGCTTAAGGTGGAACAAAGTATGGAACCTTGACAACGGGCATTGATACCCATCGAAGAGAAATAAGATATCTAATATGCGTTATATTTTTCTGTTATTTCTCTCATATTTTATTGCCGATCGGTTTCTCTCTATTTCCTTGCTCCCAGTCCAAAGCACTTTCCTAGAGCACGCTTTTAGGCTAACTTTTCTTCTTTCAATCATCCTCTTACTCAACTAGGCAAGAATGACTGCCAAAAAAGTAACTACACAGTACGAATGGTGGCATAGATTTCACGTGGTTTGTTGTCTTTTGCCAGCACGATGCTTATAGATAGATTTAAATCTAATGACGGTGGATTACAGAAAAACAAGTTTCACTGACGAACTGTCAGACGTAAACCACTTTTCGTATTTCAACATAACCGCCATTAACTTTCTCATAACCCTGTCGCAACTCCGGATCTGCACATCTGTACACATGCCTCTGAGTTCCGCCACCTGCCAAGTAATTCGTTCTTAACTCGAGATAATGTTTATATTTTGTACTATTTTTCTACCACTGGTTTCATAATGTGATCATGTATATTTTTGTTTCTTACTTAAAGTGTTTTTTTTTGTGGATGTACACCAATCGAATGACGATTGTGGTGGTTTGGGACATCTTGAATTAAAATATAAATAAATATTATTATTGGAGTCAGACTTCCATCTGTCCGCGTATTGCTTAACACTTGGTGCATTATTCGCAGAAGGGAAATGCCATCAAAAATAGGCGCAGTAGCGATCTGTGTCAAAAATGTGTGAAGCGAGAAGAAAGGAAATCTTGCTCTCACACTTTAAGGGTCGGAAGAGGAGAACCGCTGGCTTTCCACGAAAAGACAGCTTTTCCTCCAGCCCGAACAGTGAGGTCAGGGGCGCAAGATTCAAACTTCGGTTCTTCGGGCGTCAGATCCCTTTCACCTGAGGCAAACACGCAAACGGGTTATTCGACAAAAGTAATTCAGTGTTTTAAACGCACCCGGATATACCTTAGAGACGCAGTTTCCAAATGTAACGTCTAACCATGACCCACGTGAAGGTGATGTTAATTTTTTTTTCCGTTCAATTTATCTACACCTTAATGTAAGGCATATTACATTAAAAGAGTAACTCCAACTCCGACATAAACATGCTATGTTAAACCCTCTTCGTCTTTTCTAATATAAAAAAACATAACAAGATATATTTTATTTCAATAAAATGGCCGTAATATGTGCATATGTGCTTGCGATTATGTTTATATTTTACTTCTGCGATGAAGAAAAGTACTAAGTAGGTCTGGTTTGAAGGCGCTACCCAAAAGCTACCCAAAAGATACCTAGCTACCCAAAATATGCACATTTTCGAAATACCTAGTTTTCACTCTCCCAAAATGCTATTTGTTACCTCCTAACTCAAATTAGCTATTGCTGAAAGCGCTAATTAAGGTTACGCCAAGACCAACGTTCAGATTTGCACGCCTACTGCAGTGACATGACATGACATGTTGTATAGATTGCAAGTCAATCCGACTGTCGGAGACACTGTATTCACGTGTGAGTTCCTTTTTGTGCAGTTTTGAGTATTCCCCCCGGTATTTATAATTCGCGCCATCAGACGTCTGTATCTCCTCGTCAAGGCTGGTAACATCGGCGGTCATTTTTTCACCAATATTGAGATTATTGCTATGGAGTAACTTAAGAATAACTTCCTGTGGTTCGGTGGCCCTTTAGAGGTTAAATTTGTCTTGTTAGGTCTTTTTTACATAACGAAACTTTCTTCCTTTGGCCTTGTTTGGCCCCCCAAAATCGCTGTTGCTACCGCTGAAGACTTTCACTGTCCCCGACAATATACAAAGAAGCCGTCTTCCCGCTGCGCTCGACCGCCACGGGGAGGAAAAGGGGAAGAAACGTGTCCCTGAAGCCTTCTGAAACCCATTAAAAAAGAATCCCTAGATTTCAAGAAATTTCCCTTTGCCCGTAAACGATTGTAGATATCCCTCCATTTAGGGAAAAATCCCTGAAGTTGGCAGCACTGATTGTCGTGAACACGCGGATCTACATCATATTACACTCATGTCTCGTTAATATGGATGCCCGCTATATGGACTCCACTTTTGGGGACAAACTCGGAAAATACATGCATTTTTGTCTCGTTATTATGGACAACTCACATTATGAACAATTTTTTGGGAAAACGGAGGTGTTCCTATTAACGAGACATCCTTGTACAACATTTTACATTACATTTTTATTGCAAGTTGATTCTCAGCTTCTCGCGCCAAATTTGAGTATTCAAGAACTGCATAAACAAAAATTATTATAAGTTGTACTTTGATATACTATATCGAATGCGTAAAATAATGCGCTGACGCAATTTTCAGCCAAAGCATTACTATAAAAATTATTTTTTTTACGGTTTTACCTGTAACTCGCAGGTAAGCACTTGTCGTTGCTTCCCCGTAGGCGTTTGTGGCGGTGCAAGTATACTCTCCCGTGTCTGCAGTTTTAAGGTTAAAGATTTCCAAGCTGCATAGGCCGTAGTCTTGCTGAAATAAGAAAACAAATCAAGACACGTTGAAATTTGTTGGAAATCCGCTACATCTCACCAAAATTGAACGACTAATAAACTAAGATTTCGTCACTTTTAAAATTTGTGTGCACGCAAAAATTGATAAAATCATGTTCATCCCCTCTGGCCGTGCCACATGCGTATATACTTCAAGCCAAATTTAATTTCACTTTAAAAAGATTACAAGTGTTTGCATATAATAGTTTGAAGTTTTGGTAAAGCTCAAAATACCGGCATCATGCAGTTCCTAAACAATCTTCCCCACAAAGTATTGTAAGAACATTGTCGATTGTCTGCAATGTTTACTAATTATTAATACCACTCTAACTTGTAATTCTAAAGTTATAAAGGTACGGACTCAGCTCAAAATATTTCTGCAAACAAATAGAACGGTCGCAATTGAGTATAAAACAAAATATCAATTTCGCATAAACCGGGCTCACTTAGTACAACGCGACTCGTGCTGCACGAACTCTCCGAAGCACCATTTTTAAAGGAAATTTAAACAAGTGAAAGACTTACCATTCCTTGTAACACGAAATTAGAGCTCAGCTCTTGAGGAGGAGCAGAGGAGTGTCCGGAGGGGAGGACATGCGCCTCCTCCCCCTCCTTTCCTCCTCTCCTCCTCATCTCCTTCTCCACTCCCATTTAGCGGGGTTACTTTTCCTCGCTAAATTTAACGGGTAAATTGACATCGCTTGACCTCACCACCAAATCAGTTTTCCCGCTAAATTTAGCGGGGCCACTGTGACGTCCAATAATTCAACGCGCACGGTTACGCCGATGGCGATGCCGCTCAATACGGAAACGGGCGCCTGAGGGCTGCGGTCTAAAAATAACACGAAGAGGATAACTCACATGGTTGATTGATATCTGTCTGTTCTCCAAGGAAACCTTGACGCCGTTCTTCAGCCACGTGACCTGAGGGGTCGGATCACCGACCACGGTGCAATGCAGCTTAACCCTGTACCCACTCGGTGCAATCCTATTCTCGAGGCGAGTGATGAAACGCGGAGCCTCTCCTTTCGGCACCGGCTTGGGACGTGGCAGTTGCGCCATGGGTTCGTCGGACTCGGAGTCACTTCTCGACAACCGACGACTGAGGTACGGGCGCGAACTCGCGTCCGGATAAGGCCTTGCACGAGTTGTTTCCGGCGATCCTTCAGATTTTCTGCCGTTCGAAGTCTTGCCGTTGGTTTGTTCCCCTGTAGGCTTCTCCCTTGTCTTCAGCTCCCGCCGTAACATGCTCTGCATGGAATGCAACAGTTCGAGATCCCTCTCCAGACTGGACATCTCGGAGGAAATCTTCTTGGCTAGCCTGTCCATGTTCGACTTCCTGTGCGAATAGTCGCTTTCGATGGTCTTGGACAGCGACGTTATCCTTCTTGAGTAAGGTCGCCTGGTGCGCATGTCAAACTCCTTGAGTCTGGCTTGAGTCTTGTAATACTGTGCGTCAGGATAATAGTAGAATCTTCGGTCTTCTGTCCTAAGACCCAGCGGTCCTTGAGGCCTCCACTGGGTACCGGGAAGGCTAATACTTGAGTCAAGCCCCGAGTCGGACGGTGAGGCGGAAAGAAGGTCGCGTTGTTTCGCGTACGGCGCTTCGAGCATATCTTCAACGAAAGATTCGTCCGTTTCCACTTCGCTTAGCTTTGTAGGGGTGTCAGGCTTGGTTACACTAAGCACCACTCCTTCTGGTTGGACTGTTGTTACAATAGCAGTCGGCTCTGCAGCGCTTCGAACATATCCAACCGAACAGTAATCGGTAGAAGGCCGTTCTGGTCTTCTCAATTTTCCCTCACAAAGTAGGGTATCGATTACGTAATTTAGTGGAACAGGTAGGCTTTCGCTCAGCGTGAACCGTCCAGCGATTGGAATGAGTTTGTCGGGATCTGAGAAATGACTCGTGGACTCTAGTTGTAAGGGTGGAGCCAGCACTAACAAAGGGTGCTCGACGTCAATGATCAAGAAGGAAGATTCTGGTAGCAAGTTTTTGTACATTCTGTACTCTGCCTGCGTGACTAACTTCACAATAATCCCGTCTGGGACTTTTCTAGGGGGCATGTTTTGCGTCTGATCCAGAAGAAGTGGCTGCGAGAACACGACCAGCGAAAATATATGGGATACCAGGAGAATCGGCAGAGGGTGCTGTGATGTCGGGGCGGGTTCTGTAGATGACTCTTCGGCTAAATGCCAACTGGTAATCGTCAAGACACAGCTGACTGTCAGCGGCACGTAACTGGTGGTTCCACTTTCGTAGCGGGGTTCCTCTTGCAATAAGTCAAAGCTCGCGTCGCTTACGAAGGGCACGATTCCAAAAGAATGCTCGCGGACTAGACTTTCCAGTTTTTCTTCTTTTTGTAAAACTGCGTCACTCGGAACGACAACACCAATTGTCTCAAATGTTTCCTCCTCGTGAGGTTCATTATCTTCATGCACGACAGCCGCTTCGCTAAGACCCAATTTTTCAAATATTTCAAGACTAGCCCGCTTGGTCAATGCGTCGTATTCAGCTTCTGTAATGTCGCCCGATTCTACCTTGACCACCGAGCTAGGAACGAGAGAGTCATAATCGCTCCATTCGCTGACTGCCGGAGCCGTCACCTGAGACACAGTCTCCGATGCTGCCGCATCTTCGTTGAGGAACTCGTCGACATCGAGTGAAGAGCGCTGGTCATCGCTGTCGTATTTGGTCACTGTCAAGGTGGCGTCGTCGGCTGTCGAGGCAAAGTCTTGCTCAGTGGCGATGGCTTCTGTTGCTTCTGTAGAGTTAGTCTCCATCGGCAGGCTCTCTGCCCTCGACTCTGGTCCCAGACGTAGAAGGGTGACAGGCTCGGAGCTCTGGCTTGGCTTGCTGGTTCCGTAGACGGTGACGGCCCGCACTCTGAATGCGTATTGCCCACCTTCAATGAGCCCGTAGACAGTGCAGTGTTCCTGGTGTGCAGTGGTTGCTTTCATCCAAAGTTCATTGTTCATCTGCACGAAAAGAAAACAAACCCAGTATATGCTATTTAGTCATCAGATTTAAAAAAAAAAAAATCACTTCACATGAGTACGGTTAGCAAATTTGAAAAATGTTTCTTCTTCGTCTATGATTAATACTGAAAACAAATGATGTTTATAATAAAGCTATACACAATTAAATATTATCTTGCAAGTGAATTCGCTATTTTCTGGTCTACTTACAACTTGACATTCGTGAGGATACTTGCCGGTTAAAACGTCCTGTCCAATTGCCAAAAACCGACATGTAAACTTTTCTTGTTCACAAAAAGCATCCTCCAGTTTGAGTCACCACAGACCGACATTTTTTATCACAAAAATAGGAAGCGCGAAAGACGAGGGCGGGTGGAAGGCAACACAGGAAATTCGCTTACTCTCAACTGACGTTTCAATTCTATGGAGGACAAAAACGGAGACATAAAAAATCCAAATGGTAAAAGCGCCAAAAAAAAAAAGGAGAAAGGAGAGAAAGTTCCAGAAAAGATTAAGAATTAAACAAAGAGAAAAACAATAAAAAATATTAAAGCGAAAGGAAGGGGTGTACACTGTTAAAGTAACAGAGTAATACGTAAAATTAAAGGAAAAAATAAAGGTAACGCGAATTTTAGAAAAAAAAAGAAAAATATTGAATCTTTTGATGACAAGGTCGCAGATGAAGCACTTATGCAGAAGTCTTCTTTTTTTTTTTTTACAATGGCTTTAGCCTAAAACGTTTCGCGAGTGTGCTTATCGGAACGCCGCCTCAGAGTCCTTGAGCTGGACAGCAGCGGGGAACATCCGCAGTCCCCCACATGTCCAGCGAGATGCACCGAGGGTGTGGATTTGAGAGATAGCGCATGCTCTTTGAGCCGTACGATAATACATCTTCCGGACTGTCCAACATAAACCTTCCGACAGGCGAACGGGGTCTTGTACACAACTCCGCAACCGCAGTTAAGGTATTTGTTGTAGTGTCTAACGCCGTATTCATCAGGCTTTTTGCGTTGGGCGTTGACTCTGGGTCAGAGCTTTTTCAGGGTGTCTGGGACTCAAAACACAACCCGCACATCATATTTGGAGGCATATCTATCAAAGTTAGGAGATTCGATGAATGTAAGCGACGACTACCGGTCGGTTTCTTTTTTTTCTACTTCAGTTGCCTGTTCTCTTTGGTTTGATGATAATTTCAGCAACATCAGACAGGCTCAAAGTGGGGTGGCCGGACGCCTTGAAGCATGGTGTTTAAGCTTTTTTCAATTTTTTAACCGCGTTTTTTTTAACCGCATTTTTTATTTTTGCGATGTTTAACCAATAAGGCCAACACATTATTTTTCCACATTTGGCAATCACTTGTTGCCACAACCGGTGCGATACATCTTTTGGTTTACGTTTCGATCCCAACTATGCATAATACACAGTCCCCGACAACTGCCCTGTTTTAAGTATGGCGGAACATAGCGTAAACAGTGACATTACATAAAAATATAGACAGAGTAACTCTAATGACTCTCACCTGTCGCCGCTCGATGATGTAGCTACTCACAGGGCTACCTCCGTCATTTGCTGAAGGGTTCCAAGAAAGCGTGCATGAGTTCCAGTCAACCGAGGTGACCACAGGTTTGCCTTCTGGTGGTTCCGGTTCACCTACGACGAAAACAAGTACAACGATCTTTATTCGAAGCCCTGTCGATAACAATCATTCCCCATTTTGATAATCCATTAAATGTTCAATCAAATGAATATTGTTTCTGAAAAAAAAAAATGAAAGTCTCTGTAACGCGAAATTAGAGCACAGCTCTTGAGTAGGAGGAGGGGAGGACCCGGAGGGGAGGGTATGCCCCCTCTCCTCCTCTCCTCGTCCTCCTTCACTTCTCACCTTCTGCTCTGCTCCTCGTCGCCTGCGCCTTCGCCGCCTCCTCCTCCCTTCCTCCCCCTCCTCCTTCTTTCATCCACCGTACCCTCCCATCCTCTCCTTCCAACTACCTCCCTAGCCTCCTCCTCCATACTCTGCCCTCCTCCCACCATTTCTTCTCCAAATTTAGCTGAAAAATTGACATCGCGTGACCTCAACACCAATTCTGTTTCCCCGCTATATTTAGTGGGGAAAATTACGTCACATTACTTGGTGTCACGTCACGTATAAACAAATTCAGTTTCTCCTCTCGATTTAGCATAAAAATTGACGTCACATGACCTCCACAGCAATTCGGTTCCCCCGCTAAATTTAGCGAGGAATCGAATTGGTGTTGAGGTCCCGCGATGTCAATTTCCCTCTAAATTTAGCGTGGTGACGCCGACGGCGAATCCGACGCCGCGATGCACGGAAACGGTCCCTAAGAGCTCCGCTCTAAAATTAGAAATATGTTTAATTCCACGTATCTTTGATATTCTTCTACAGTTCTACCCTAAAGCACATAGCTGCCTTTCTTTTATATACCAAAGGCCGCCAAACCCCGGCTTTTGGGCCGAATCCGGCCCCATTTTCGTTCCGGCCGACCCGCTGATGGCCGCCGTCTTTTCAGTGATGCCCGGCCCGCGGCCCGCTGCTACCAGAGATTTACAAATAAAAAAAAAAAAGTTACCAAATACCGCTACTTGCTACTCGCTCAAAAAGTAACTAAGTACGTTACTTATTACTGAGATTCGAAAGGAACGCGTTACTAGATGACAAGTGATGAGTTACTTTTTCGTCACTCTGGATGTGTCGTTCTTTTGAAGCAGTAGCCTGCTGTTGTTATTTCTTTTCCTTAATAATTAATAACTTTGGACGCATTCATGGGCATTTTCTAATTTACTTGTTGACACTTTTTTTCACAAAAAAGTCACAGATGCGTGTTGGAGAGAAAACCAAAAAGGTATTGTACACGTTCCTATCCAGATGTAACTGAATACTATTACTCGATATTCCATTAAAATAAAAAAACACGGTAATCATTATTTTTCTCGAAAAGTAATGAAGTGTTTACTTTGTTACCGAAAAATGTAACTGGATAGAAGTAAAGAATTAATGGAAACGCGTTACCTACAAATCTGGATGGAGCTAACGCAAAAGCCGCACATAAAAGAGAAAACGGCACACCAATACGCAAACGAAGATATAAAAAAAAGATTGAGAAGACTGCATGTACACGCGGGCTCTCTCGCCTATTATTTAGTGTACACTGTCTTCACCAGCATTAGGATTCGGAGTACACTGCTTCATGTGGGGGTATTGATAGTACTCTAATAGTACCATATTTACCATGACAGTTATTGTACCATAGTACTATAATTGCCACTGCCACCCTTGCTAAATGGAAATTACGAGTTTGACTTCTAAAATTTACAATTAAAAAAAAAATCTTCCGGGGTTGTTTTATGGCTAAAGCCACGAAGGGACTTGAAGAATCCGTGCAACATATACCGGCAAGAAGAGGGTGGGGCAGCAGTATTAAGCATGACAGAGTTTTTAAAATGAGAATTTTAACGCCGTTTCCAAATTCGATATGGGCAGAAATTTGCGAGGCCGGAATTTTCCAAGAGGTAAAACTAGAAATAAAAATTCACAAATTTAATAGTACACCGCAGAGATTACTTCCGCGAAGCCTTAGGTGACATGCAAGAGAAGGATCTCGACGATGTTGGACGTGCGTCAACAAAATGAAATATTTCCGCTTACGAATTCTGTATTACGCGAACGTAGAGCAACACACTCCGTTTGGTAGCTGGTGGTACACAGACCAAAAACATGAACACATATAGAGCTGTCAAGAATGAAACAAACATGACAGCTTGGAAAACAAGCGCATAAGCATAATACGTGAACAAGTTGAGCTGAAAATTTAGGATTTGGGTATAATAACACACGGTAGCTCGAAGACCACGTAGTTACTCTGTCCATGAAAACTATGGGATAACTCCACTTTGACCAGCTGTAAGCTGACAATGCGGCAGAAGATACGCACTCGCCTGACCAATCAACCGCTTGTATATCAGTACCCGACCCTACTCGCTGCGGATGGGTATAGGCGGAAGCGTGGTTACGTGGCTAGACATATACCCATAAATACTCCGACAAACAGATAGATCCCACCGCACTTTCAGCGTGGGGTTAACAGAGTTGACAGTGCACAAAAAATCACCTTACCTGTAATCATAACGGCAACGCTGAACTGATCCGAACCGTGCTCGTTCGTCGCTTCCAGAGTGTACATTCCCCGGTGGTTGGGGTCGGCATCCACCAGCTTCAGAAGAACAGTCTGGTCATCTCTGTCCACCAACATGGTGGCCGACGACCCGTCAAACACAACGATCTCTCCGTTCCTTCTCCAGGTGAAATCTGGCGGCGGGTGTCCGGTGTAGGAGAGCTTCACGCGGACCGTTTCTCCGGAGTCGAACATTAAGCCGTCCTTGTACGTCGGTGATCCGGTTAGCTTTGGAGGAGCTGAAAACGATTAAATTTTGTATCATTGGCCGGATCCTTGGTGGTAGGCTTACGAAAGGAAAATATATTTAGGCTGTAGATGGGATTTCCGACTTTGCTGTTTACCCTCGAGCGCCGATAAATGTGTGCAATTTCCATTGATCACTCGTAAAATTGACACAAAATAACCAGTAACTAGTTGCAGAGCTAAAACGTTGATTATAAAATCCTGTAACGAAGCACTACGGGCTTGGCATGATTTTGGACAGAAGCTCCGGAGATGGGTGCCTTCCCTAGCTTGTGCGATCAAGCTTAGCAACCAAAGACAATAAATTTCTTAAGATTCACGGAGCCTGCGTTTGGTTTTTGTCTAGTTCATCAACGTGGCGGTTATGTTCAACTAATACTGGCAAACGCGGATCCCATATAAGAAAAACTCACGTTGATTGAGTACACCATATTGCGAGTAAAATTAAAACCGACAGCAAGGTCGCGAGCTTAAAGGCAAAACTAACCACCTAAACACGTCAAGGGTTTAATACTCTGCTTTATTTTAATTTTGGACGCAACCGGTGCTATGAGTTTATGGGACCAAAAAAAGCGCACATCATCGGCCTTTCCTACATATCATATGTTTAACGATATTAGAACACGTGGAGACACATGAGGAACATCATGTCAGTGCGCTGTGGTGCTGTTCGATTGGTTGCATCAGCTCGTAGCGTCGGCTGCGTTCAGGCTTAAGTTGAAGCTATTTTCTAAGACGATGTGATCCATTATGATTTAAACACTGACATAAGAAAAATGTGATAACTGACAACACGGCACAAAATCACTTGCGACGTGTGTCACGCACATTGTTATTTTAATGGGTAACAAACAGCGCAGGGAGACGGACAGAGTAGAAGACGGAAGACAAACACTGCGCCGACTTACAACTGAGCTCTAATGGATCTGACAACGAGTATAAATACAAAGTTTGCCCCAAAGCACAGACTAAGAAAGGAAACAACACTGAGGAAGGACGACACTTGTTCTTAGAGTCATCTCCGTGCTCTGTTGTTCTTCGATCTATAAAGAAACATGCACTTTTTCCGACAAGGCAAGTGACGGGCCATTAGCACATTCTGATGCCGCTTGTCTCATATCGCGCGCTTCTATCACTTTACGCGGTGGGGTTATTCTTTTGTTTACTGATGACTGCGCATCATTTAAAGGGGAGTACATCCGCATTCACGGCATTGCACACCAAGATACACCGACGCAACCTGGGACAGATTATTCCGGTGCTGTCTTAACCGTTCATTAGGACAGTGTCCTGTCTGCCCTGTGTATCTACGGCCGCAAGACAGGGAGGCAAAATACGCGACTTCCACGACGCTTGTCGAAAACTAGTTTTGGTGTTTCTTAAGCACACTCGTTTTTCTTTTACCTCAGACTTCACTTTTTTGCACATCCCAGAAATTTCGCCCGGAGCCAAGAAGACCCCACGAACACCGACTCGACGTCCCACTTTCTTTAGATTATGAGATATATTGTGTATATACCGGATTACTGTGATATCTGTGTTTTTAATGCGAAAGCCTTAACTGTTTCGTCGAGCGAGCTGACGTCATCAGTTCGAAGCGCGAAAACGGCACCTAGTTTCCCCGATCCCAAAGTTTCCATTGGCTGGCGGGCGTCGACGGGGCTCCCATTGGCAGCTGCGCTCGTCAGTTTCCATGACCGCTCACCCCATGGCGCTGCGTGTTCATCAGCGCGCCGTTAACACGAGCGTCCAAGAGCAGCGTGCCCAGGGGAGGACGCGTGAGACCGGCGACGAAAAGTACGCAGCAGACGAAGGAGGGAGCGGACGAGCGGCTTGCATGCTTTCGGATTCACAACTAATAAGAAGTGCTCGGGTGTACCTTAAGCTTATTTTATGTTAGCTTCTTGATCGTTTGCGATGCGTCTTCTCTTCAGTATATATAGCCAGCGGCCACGAGTCTGAATACTCAATAATTCAGCTATTCTTGACCAAGTGAAAGTACGATTTATATAGAGCATTCTTAAAACAAGTGATGATGATTCCCCTTTTCACCAGCCTAAAATAGGCTGATAAAAACGGTAGGAAGAGTTTGTTGCCTCTAGGTCCCATCGAGAGAGATGAAGAAGCTAAGAGAAAAAAACAGACATCTCAGTACTATACTATTGTACCTATACGAAGCTCCTCGTGATCTGAAGGAAGTGGGGTGTCGAGTCGGTGTTCATGTGGTCTTCTCGATTCCGGACACATTTTCTGGGATGTGCAAAAAAGGAACTTTTGATGTAAGAGAAGAACAAGTGAGCACTAAAACACCAAATCCAGTTTGTAACATTCATTGTGGAAGTTGTGTATTCTATCCCCATGTCTTCAAGCCTTAGACACATAGGCCAGACAGGACCGTGTCTTAATGAGCGGTTAAGATAGCACCGGTATAATGTGTCACAGGTTTTGTCGGGGCATCTTGGTGTACACTGCCGTGACTGCGGATAAACTCCAGCCTTTGAAAGATGCACGGTCATCTGTAAACAAAAGGATAAGCTCACGCGTGAGATTGTGGGAGCGTGTGCTTTTGGACAAGCGGGATCCGAATGTGTTAGTAACCCTTCAATTACCTGGTCGAAAAAAAATGTACATGTTTTATCGTAGAATGGAAAACAACAGAACACGCCGATGACTCTATGAACAGGTATCGTCCTTCTTAAGTGTTGTCTCCATTCTCGTCGTTTAGTTCCAGCAATTTCTTGTATTTGCGCTCTTTGTCAGATCCATTAAAGGTCAGTTGTAAGTCAGGGCCGTGTTTGTCTTCCGTTTTCCGTGTCCCTGCGCTGTTTGTTTCCCGTTAAAAAGGAATACAAACTAGGCTATTCGTCAACGCTACTAGCTTGTTATTTTGCTATTCCAGTCTGAAGGTGTCTACGACGTTTTCCACCCGCTCGCTTGTACGCTTTTTTCCTCTTGCAGTTGGCTACGTAATGCATTTTCCCCCGTAACAGCGAGTTGCAACATCCCTGAAATTTAATATTCGATGTACGCAGTTTATTTCACCTAACCTGTGCCAATACTTAAAAAAGCTAGGACACGCTAAGCGCATTCAACTAATGCGGTTTTATTGCGGAAGTCAAGATATATTGAGTTTATAGTCTTAAATTCAGCAATTCGAAACATTTTTCCTATGTTCCGAACTGTTTTATTAAAACAAATTATTTACCTAACTGTAAATATTAGTTTCCGGAAAAACACTGCTATACAATATTTCGCGTGTTGAGAAACTTCCAATTGTATCTTTTTATGAATTTATCCTTCATGCAACTATTTTTTTCAGCTGCGACGAAAGCTAGAAAAGGTCGCACTATATATAAAGAAAACCGTAACTTCCCGCTATCAAACTGCGATGTTAAAGCTGTTATAAACGTGAGATATATTTTTTTTTGTATCTCGCGTTTTTTTTTTTAAATTTTAATACAATTAGACACAGGAAGCCTATTTTAATGGAAACAACCCGATGGGATGATTCTCAACAGGCTCTACAACTATAGAATTAAAGGTTTTTGAGTACAAAATGACGTTAAATAAATTAGCCAATTAATTTGTGTTAATTAGTCAGTTTGTCACCACGGAAAAAGAAGAAAACAACCTTGATTTGCTCAACAGGATTATGATAAAATACTGCGTTGCTTCGACACGACAAGCCTACACCAACTTTTTTAAGCAATGGCAGAAGTTAGCTGAAACATACTGTATGCTTTTTTGGTTAATATGAGTAAAAATCCAGATATTAAACTCGACTGCTGCGCAAATAATGTATTGGATGTGGCCAATTGAACCACTATTCTCGCGTTGGTTTTCACATTTTTGTTGTAATGCCTTTCAGTCGAGAATATTCAAAGAGGTCCTAGCTTTCCAATAATCCTGAATTTGGAACGCTTTAAATCGTTATACTCTCTTCCTCATTGAAGTCTTCGAATAGCGACTTCTCTGAAGTTTTGGAAGATAGAATTCGTTGGCGTCTAGGAACCATTCCGTCAAAACAGCGAAGATTTTTTTTTAATATGCACGAAGTAAGTTTTCAGTAACGGCCTGCAAGTTTATTATTTGCGTTTGAGCCTCTGCCTAATACGGAAACATTTTTACCGGCCTTACGGGCCTATGCTCATTTTACAAATAAGCACGCGTCTGGTCACAGCAAGTGCGGGCGCTGCACGTGGGCAGAAAGCAGATGTGAGTGGGGCGAAGGGTTTGCGGACGAGCAGTGCCGAAAGTTAGGCTGCCGTAGCAGTGTGCCGTCTGAGTTGCGCGTTTTTCTATACCAAGCTTAGAAGCGCATTTCTGTAACGCGCAATTTAAAATATAAAGGTCAAATATCATTATAAACTTCTATTCTGCGTCGTCTTTTCACTCTACATTTATTTTTTGAAAACTTTAAATAGAAATATATACTTCTTGGGACATCGAAAACACGGAGAACATCTCCGCGAATCAACTCTGCATGATATTCCGTAAAAACATTCTGGGAACGCAATGCATTTTTGTGTCCTTACCCAGCACAGTCAGTTTCGCAGAGGTCGTTTTCAAGCCTGCATTGTTGAGAGCTTGACATTCAATTTTCCCCTTGTCTTCCAGTCTAACTTTCCGAAGCAGCAGGGAGCTTGTTGCCAGTGACGTGTCAATTTCTGTCCTACCAGAATCGTATATTTCGTGACCGCTCTTGTACCTGGACCAATCAGAAATAAAAATATGTGTAACGGCACACACACTTTCAGGGACTAACTATCTCAATATTTGGCAGTATCACATCTCCATTTGTGTTTCTTTAATTTTTTTTTATATAAGTCTCCCTAATTCGTTTTGCCGTACTACAAGTTCTTTAGAAAATGTTGCCTTTGTAGAATTTGTTCTAAAATTGTTTTGCATTCTCTATTAGGAGTCATAAGTTCATCTTTCAAAAACATGAAGTGAGGGTACATCAGCAGTCACCACTTTCTGCATCAGGACCAACAGATCGATTTTTCTACGAAACGTTCAAAAATAATAATTAAAATATTGAGAAACGGCTTTTAATTGCTCAAGTATTCCCATAGACACATTTTCGGGGATTAACTATCTCATTATTTGGCGGTATCACATCCCCATTGTATTTCTTGGAAACGTCCGGTTTTCGTCCTCTATTTTATTCTCCACAAACACCGTAACTTAACCAGCACGCTCCATTTCCACGCGTGCGGAGCAACTATTCAGAACTGCAGCATAAGGTAAGAATTGCTATGATTCCCAATATTGGTTAGCTAAATGGTTATCACACTTTTTCGATACAGTGTTTTGGCATGTTCGTTTCATCAATGAATTTATACTTCAGCAATACGTCACTTTATATGGAGATACGATAACAAACCAATTGCTATCTTGATACACCTATAATGAGAAATGTGGTCTTTTGTACGCGTAAACGCTACTACCTCAGTACAATTCTTAATTTATTGTCCGTTGAAAATGTTATAAATCCACTGTAGTAAATGGAATCAGCTTCCTTATCTCAATCAAGACCAGGCCTCCTTTAATCATTCACTGGTCGTTGAATCCGTCTTTCATCCGACTTTCTATATACGTAAAAAGTCTGATGAGGGACGCATTCAATGGCCAGTAGGCTTTCTATGCACGCAGTCGTACCGGCGTGCGGTCGTGTATCGCTACTGCGTGGTGCACGTTAGAGACCCCAGGCCAGCGATTGTGCTGCACTGGCTAAATTTCTCATCTACAGCGAGTGACTCGTCGCAAGTTTGAAGTGGCTGACCAACTATACGCTCTCTATATATCCACACAACCCCAATTATTCTATGCACGTACATGTGTATATTTGATTCTAATAACGATTTTGTTTCCTCGAACTTTACCATAGTAACGAAGCTCGAAGCGATTATTGTTGATATAATACGTATATGACCGACAACTGTGGTTATGCAGTGTTTTGCATCTACCCAATCGACGCAAGTTGCAACAGGCTTTAAATTTCCTTTGAGATCGCATCTGTTGCGCGCTTGGACGTTGCGCTATATCATATCTTAAACATTACGTATTAAATGCGCAGCATTTATGAGCCCAGCTTTTAGATTTTTTGTGTTTCGTGACGCCATGATGTCACATGACGTCACTACATCACGCGACGTCACTTGGCAATGACAGCATATCATAGACTTAAGGATTTAAGAAAGCATTGAAATTTGCTTTTCAGAGGTGTGCAAAACTTCCATACAAATGCGATGCTTTTAGAACGCGTCCGAGAAATGCCGAAGAGACAGACATCCCTTTGAATTAATTTCACATACCGGGGGATGTTAGTGGGCTATGCCGACGCGAAAACACAATATGTACACACACATGTTGCGGCAACCTCATAAGAAACAAGTGGTCATTTAAGACACAGTATTGTATAAGAGGACATAGTTAAAACAAAAACAAAAAAACAACGTACCAGGTGATTTCAGGTGTGGGAATGCCAATAAATTTGCAGGTGAACGTGGCGTCGTTGTCCACCAAGACGTCGCAGTCTGACAGCTCCTTCGTGAACTCCGGTGCCGTCATGGACGCAACTGGGCGGTAAGGAGAGCAACATTACAGCACCAACCTGAATGCAGCGGCTGGGCCAGTTGCGGTTTACATCTCACATACGTGGCAGCGTTTTATGCTCTGTGGTGTCCTTGTCACGAGCAGTTCTTATCATTATGATTGCAAGGCCTGTGTGCTTGCATTTCCGAATGCAAAGACGTAGTAATTATGTAGGTAAAGTGGTTCTATTGTTGGTTAAACGTTAAACTTTGAATAGGAATATAGAACAAAAACTATTTACTCTCGTGGCAAATATTCTTTAATTATAGAGAACTAATTTAAATCAGTGTTACCATTCGAGCCAACTTTGTAAAATGATTACAACAACGGTCTTAAAGGGAACGTGAAACGTATTGGGTAAGAAAGGTTTCCTGCTTCGCACGCGCTTGCTGGCACTGTATGGGATCAAAGTACGCTCGCATGCAGCGCCACAGTCCAAGATGCTTCTCTATCGTCGCGTAAATTCAAAGATAGAAGCGGAGATTTTTTTTCAGTCTCTCCTTTGCAAAGCTTTGTGACACATTTGTGGGATCGCATATCGTTGGAGTCGTCAACAATGAGATCCCCAGAATTTTGTCATCACGCTTTGCGATCAGGTGACGATATTTGATTGCAGCTCATACAGTGAACACGAACAATGCGAAAGCATTCGATTTGGGCTCATGACGAACAATGCCTCTACACGCATTCCGGTAGTGGCTCCTTTTTAAGCACTACGATGAAAGGGAACAGCTGAAAATTAAGATTGTGCGGAATTCAGCGCGTGCTGTGCGCTCTCCCAACCCCAGCGCGTGGTTATGATAAACATTGGCGACTTATAAAGGCCCGTTCACACTCTTACGACCGAGTACGACTGAGAGAGACGAGATTTCTCACAACTTCTTAAATGTTTCTAGAATGAGGGAACACACTGACATTGTGGCGCCATCTATGCGGTGACCCTAGAACTGCATTTCACAAAAGCGAAGGTTTTGCGGGATTTCCGAGGTCAAATGTGCGTAATACCCATAGAAAGGCTCGTTTATAACATTGACAAAAGTTTTTCGAGCCAAAAAAGAAAGGATATTGCGCGAGAAATAAAAAAAAAAAATATGCCGGACCGCCGAGTTTACACTGCTTCCCAATAGATGGCGCCAGTGTGTTCTCTGGTTTAAGAAGTTTTAAGGAACCCAGGTTTAAGAGGTCGCAAGCAGTCGCAAGAGTGTGAACGGGCCTTAATTGGCTCCAGATCACGTGGCCGCTTGCTCTAGCTGTGAAATGCCTGGGTGAACGCTGCTCGTTTTTTTAAATACTTTTTATGCTACTACCATTGCGTGAGAAAAAAAATCTATCACGATCTTTTCTTTCAATTTTTAAATGTCAAGAAATATTTCTTGGTGATATTTTGTGAGACTTAAAAACAGTGTTGCCTCGCCCCTTCATGATTGTAATATGTCATCTTTAGGTGGTATATCTGCCAACGCACAATAATCACTCATAATAATTTAAAAAAAAAAAACATCTACGAAGTACCATTGTAAACCACACAGGTCAATTATTTTGCACAACAAAATTTCAACCTTTTCCTACGTCCTAATATTTTCTATACCATTCCAGTAATCGCCTCGTTTCCGCTGCCATCTTTATCTGATAGGCTGTTATGTGCACCCTAATCATGCGCAGTAGATGTCTTATGTAGAATATTATAAGGCGATAAGCCCTGGAAGGGTGTAAGAGAAGGTCACCTTTTCTGATGATGACTATGGGCTCCGATGGCTTGGACCACTTCCCCATGCCGACCTCATTCTCGGCGCTGACCCGAAAAGAATACTCGATGCCCGGGACCAAGTTCTGCGCCACGAACTGGGCCTCCTTCTGCTGACTCACGACGATCCAGACGTCCCCGACGAGATCGCAGCGCTCCACGATGTACCAGGTGATGTCATCGCACGGTGGTGACCACGTCACTATGCAGGCGTCAGGCATGGTGGGATGGATGACCACGACCGGTGATTCTGGTGCCGGGGGCTTTTCTGCGTGATCGCGATGAAAAAAGAAAGGTAAATACTTTAATTTTTGTTTTGTTTTTGTGCCTGAATGTTTTGCGTGTACAGCCCATACTTAAATTTTGCGAGTGTGATTTGGAACCGCTTCCGACAAATAGAAATTATATCATCTCAAACCAAATTCTGCGGTTACGGTTTTGTTGCGAGTAATTATAATTGCAAAGCCAGTATATATTTGAAAATTACTCCTATTTAACAATAACTTTATTATCTCATGAATTCATAAAGCACTGGCCGGGGAATAAAGTTGCAAGACAGCCTGACGGGTTTCTGGCCTGCTACAATACAATTCTAGCTGCAGTTCAACACAAAAAAAAATTAAAACCTTTTAGCTTCGCACACTCGAAAATTTGATCAAAATTCAAAATATATAACTAAATATGAAACATGCGGTTTGACATACTTAGAAATGCGATAAAATAGATGCATTACCAATTTTAAGAGAAATTTCGTAGAGCAAAATTGCTAGAAATTGCGTGTGCTGACTCAACCGAAACCAAATCATTGCTAGATAGAACCGCCTGAGTGAAAGACGTCCGGGCACCAGTCTCAAAATGGTACATAACGTTTTTCATAACACTACGGCTTTCTGCAAATGCAAATATATTTTTCACACTAGTTATTTATTACAGAAGAGAGATTATTACAATGTTCTTCTGTAGAAAATCAAAATTCATAGGTTAAAATATATTGACGACTAAGTCGTGCGCACAGCGGCACGTCGGCGCGTGTGCTTTTGCCTGACAGACCCGACTGGCACACAACGACGTGCGTGGTCTCGTTTCGGGACAGAAATGGCCGAGGCCGAGCATAGCGTTACAATACTAGAACGGTTGATTTTTTTTGTTGCATTTCTTTCTATAAGAGTATTTAACTGCGGTGCCGTGACACTAAAGTTTCAGCTGACTACCAGGGCCCCGGTTTCAATCATAACGCGGCCCACCCATCGCAAGCACGAGGACAACTGGTCCAGATTTTGCGAGACATATCTGCAGCTTTTCTGTTTCTTGGACCTAGCTGCCGGTTACAAAGGTGGCTTGACCTTCAAGTCTCCTTTCAAGTTCAAAACAAAGCGAGCACACTGGTAATCCTGTGGTGCCCCGGAATAATATGTCGGACTGACGCAACCTCATTTAGGCAACGTGAACGCAGGCTCAGATGAGCATTCTTTCCCTGTATGCTGAGAGGAAGCTGACTTTCGTGGTTTGCTCCCAAAATATTCGGTGTTAATCTAGCCGGGCCTGGGGATGTTCAAGGGACCTCCCGTTAGCTTACAAGTGCATTGTGCACACAGGTGGACGAAAAGTTCAATAGACTTGTGAACGTAGCTGTTCTTTCGCACGCAACCAACTCACGGCTCAACCCGGCTAAAAACCTGCGAATCAAATTTGTACTACAGGCCCGTGTGTTGTAATAACAGTTTTAGAGGCATTTTATAAAGTTTTTTTTTTAATCGAACGTCCATAGCGAACTCACTTGGGGCTGCTTGTACTCGAACCGGTTTCTTGTCGACGAGAGCTTCTCCTGTGCCTGCCTCGTTTTCGGCGCTAATGCGAAATACGTAGAAGTGGCGGGTCCTTAGGTCTTCTACCGTGAAACTTGTTCGGGCATCTGGTGTCCTCACTGAGAACTTGGCGATCTGTAGCCAGACATATACACCATGAAATGTTAGAAATAGAGCAAAAATTTCGGTCTAAAACAACCACGTTCAGCACACGGTTCACGGATTTGATATATTTTAGTGATGTGTTCATTCGATTTTGTTTGCTGTATAGTACGAATTCTTAATTTTAGGATCCATTGTGCAGTGCACCCTTAAACGCGTAAATTTTATGTGAATTGCCCCATTTTTAAACATTAAAAAATAACAACTCACTGACTTAATCACGTTGTAATGCCTCAAACTAGAAAAGCTCTCCAAAGATAAAAATACACGGGAATACATGCATTTTCTTCCTAATACCTTAAGGGTGCGCATATTGTGAAATGGGAAACACTGACGCATACCTTCTGTACAACCATCTCACTCGGGAATGATCCCTAAAAGCTCGATAACGTGAGAGTGAGGCCATTCCTGATTGTTAAGTATTCACTGCGGAACCAATCGAGTTGTGGAACAATGAAACCAAAAGTCATGAACCATTGAACGAAAATAAATATTCTATAAAATGTATCCATAAATCAAGGGAAGGATAGGCTGAAAGACGAGTAAGGAAGGCGTCTCAAAGAAAGGATGTCTTTCATAAGTGCAAAAACGACATTCATGGAAAGTTGCTGTGAAGTATGAAAACAGAAACATAATTTGAATTGAACGGTAATAACGAAAATGTGGCTCTTCAATTGTATGCCTTTGTTATCTATAGAGTTCTTTGTAAACATCCAATAAACCATTTATAATCTTCAAGAACGTATGAAGTATTTGCATGAACCTTGATAACTCAAACAATAACCAGAGTGCCGAGAAAAAGGAAGAAGATATACCTTCAAATATAAAATAGAAAAATTGTATAAACTCAAATGATAGAACTTAATACAGTACGAATGTACTGTATTAAGTTTTTTTTTTTTATAACTTGATATAAATTTTAGTTTCCCGCACGCTCAAACTATTGATACCTCAGTATTTTTAGGGTCGGATTGCAATCGGCTTTTGTGCAGAACTTTTTTTTTTTTTTACTTCTGAACTTCGTAATATCATTACGCTATTTAGTCAACCAAAGCCTTTTTCAATTTATATTAAAAACATTAACAAAGCAGAGCGATGAACCATGGCATAGGAACAAATAAAACATGTTTTATTGTGGCCGAATGAAAAAGAGCTTATAGCTATCGAAGTGCAGTACTCTTTTTTATCTTATAGCTTGTTTACAGTGTTTATATTTGTGACACTAGGGATCATTGTTTTTGCATGTAACATGTACCAGAGAGTAGGCCAGAGAAACGCGCAACTTGGAACAAGTTTGGTTATTTATAGGGCCTAACTTGGGCCTAATACGGTTTTTCTCGAATATGCTAGTGCCAGAAAACTCCTGCTCGGCGTTTTTATGGCTTTAATCTTGCTCGCCACGAAACGCCCTGCGTAATGCCAAAGTAGCAGACTCAAGTCAAACATGCCACGTAAAAACAGAAGAACCAGCAGCGAAGGCTAAATATCAAATAACGAAAAACAATCCTTGGGAAAGGGGAACAAAAAGGAGAAAGCACACACGCAAATCTTCAAACATGGCTAGGTGAGCGGTGCGCGAATGAAAAAAAAAAATCCGCCTGGTCCTGGTGTCGAACTAGGGACCTCTCTATTCCCAGTGGAGCTCTCTACCAAATCAGCTAACCAGGACCACTGGAAGTGGAGAGGTCCCTAGTTCGATACCAGGTCCAGGGTGAATGTTTCGGTCGTGCACCAGTCACCTAGCTGTGTTTGGAGATTTTTGTTTGTCCTTTGTCCCCCTTGTATTCCTTCTCAAGAGATTATTATCGTTAATCTTGTCCAGCTCGCTTGCACTTTTGCATTAATTGAAGTAACAATATAAATAGTAAACTCGTTTGGCAATTTAAGCCCAGAGTTGCAACATGAAAACCAAACAACAGGAGGTCATGCCTAAATTTGGCACTTGTTTCACTTATGAGGGCATCTCTACCCAGACACTGGCGAGAGTAATGCAAGTTTGACTTTACCCTGGCTTCTTCGGGATTTGTATGGCCTCAAATACCCAGACAAAAACGAAATGCTGGCCAAAGGAACTGTACTACCTTGGCTATTGCTCTATATATTCATTGGGAGAGCAGAAGAGAACAACTGTGACATGTTTTGGCGTCAGGACTTGATGATTCAGAGTAACTTTGGCACATCAAGGGAAGGAAGGGTGTTGAATTGGCACCCTACACCGCGTTCCAGTGGTTGCAACAGATGGATTCCGGCTCTTCCCCTCTCTCTCATTCCCTGGCATGTCCGTTGGCTTTCCGTCTGAGAGAAGTGTCCGGGTATTTTTAGCTATCGAGACTATTTTGCTGAGCGTCGCGCTATCTACAACGAGCGTGTGTGTGGAAGTCAATTGAGCGCTAGTGATAATGTACTGAGTTCTCAGTTAGTTTTATCTTTGAAAGACAAACGAATTGATACGGTTCAGAAACGAACGTTTGCAATCCCGTTAGATTTAGGACATATGGTCATTAATTATTTCCTAAATGATAAAAATCTATACAAACTACAAATAGAGAGTTAGTTGCAACATTGTTTAAAATGCCGAGCATCGCAATCCTAGAAACCGATTCACAGTTATTAAATATAATATTTTCTCTTGAAAATATACCTATTACTAAATATAATAAAAATATATTCACTGTAAACAAATATTTTTAATTCCGTAGTTTCACACGCTGACTACAAGTTTTCATCACGTATTAAACATGATTGGTTTCTTTCTGGTGTTCGCTCTCCGATCCCGTTGGGGACGTTTTATAGACGTAAAACAACACCAGAGACAATAACATCGTTGGAGCTTATTTTCGCGACCTGGCGCATAATCGGAGGCGTCACAGAAACATTTTCAAGCACACACAGAAGCAAGTTTAATTTGGTTTAAGACTCGGAAAACACTTACGACACGCAAAATCATTACAGTTATGACGTAGTGTTCTTTAAATATTACTATATATTTGAAACCTGTTTCTGAAATTATGGTCGCACATACGCGCCTGTCTCAATCCTCATCCACATAATATATTTTCCAACTCGTGTTCGTATTTCAAGCGCCAACGCGCTTTTACAAACAAGCCGGTGTTGACCAACACCGTGTGTGGCCACAGCGCCTGCGTGGAAACAATATTTGCTTGATGTGAATTATCTGCGCATGCCCAGTTGCAACACCAGCGCCACCGCAGCGGTGTGACGTCAGAGCGCCGCGTTGGTCTATTCTTGTTGATAGCAGTATGAATGGTTTCGAAGGACGTATCGGGAGGACGTACCTCTGCTGCTGACACATCTCTGTACTCGACGAGGTAGTTTCTGACCGGATCCCCGCCGTCCTTCAGGGGCTGCTTCCAGGAGAGTCGGACAGAGTCTTCGGTTACGCTTTCAACCACGAGTGGACCAACGGGAGCAGATGGAGGCACTACAACTCCTGCGTTCAAACCCGCCGAGCGACGACTTGAAATTCCGAACGAGTGCGGACCATTCCAAAGATCGACTTTCGTGCGCCGTCAGGTATCCCTAGTTGGGCCCTGTAACGCGTTCTGAACATGCGCATTAGCTGTCTTCCCCATAATATCAGACGCCACTCACGCGTGTGCACTACTCAGTGACTCAGCATTCTTCGCCTGGCTGATAGGCTATGTAGAGTTCTATAGAGCGGCGAATGTAAATGCGCCGTTGTGCTCCTCCGTCCCCCGCGCGCAAACGAGCCCTTGCTATAGTCGTCTGCGTCAAGCCGGTTGCGTCACGCACATAAGAAAACACTCCCGTCTATAGACCTTTGCAGAAATTGCCTTCTGGGCCTTGCCACCTTTGTCTGCTGAACTGTGGAGCGCCTTTTGTGCATAGGCTGTTGCTCCGCTGTGCGGTATATAAGACGCTGCGCAAGCGTCCACAGCTCAGTGACTCAGCATATTTCACCCGGGTGATAGGTGCTGGAAAGGTCTATGCACTTTAGCCAGCTTTCAAACTTCTCCGACAGCGCGCTGCCATGGGGGTACATGCGCGTGGCACCACCTCGAGCGCTCGCTTTGCGAAGTTGCGCACTACGCCTCCATTATCCACCTGCAGCTGGTGTCCAGGGAGCGAACGCGCAATGCATGCTCGGAGACTGGTCCCGTGATTTCGGCGAGGCCGGAACAGGATGCATTGAACCTATTTTGAACGAAATGGAGGGCCTTAGAGTAATAGACTAACAGTTGAAAGTGACAGCCATGTTGCACATTTTGACCACAAGACACATGACCTTATAGTTTTACATCTAGATTTTAATTAAGTACCGCGCGCAAATAATTGCTAATTGATCTTTATTAACAGTACCAACGAGATAAGTTATGTTTCGTTCGTTTTAAGTTCAAAATATTCTTTTACGACAAAAACTCGGGTAGCTTCGCAAAGCCTCTGCCGGGTGCCGTCAGCCGCGGTGCTGTATTTTGGGTTTTTATCAGAGCTGTACTGATCTCTGGGGCTAACAATACTAAAAAAACATAGTTTATAATATTCTTTTTTTTTACAGCGATTGCAATACAAATTTGGGCTCAGTTTTGCGTAAGAGCTTCAGGATTTGGTACGGTCACGTGTCTAGTGGTTAAAATCCTACTACATGGCGGCACCCAAGTGGGCGTCACTTTTGCCTGGTGAAGTGGACCCTAGTTTATCGTTGCATATATCGTACTAGTTACTGCCACGACCGCCGAATGCCCCCCGCCGGTCATGTTTACTGGGTCAGAACGCCGGACCGTAGCCTGGTTTTCGCCGACGTATCTTCGCCGTGCAGCGTGTGCGTGCGCGCGTGTGTTAGGTCGGAGGATTACAGCGACTCTATTCAATAATACACAAGGAGTGTACTATACTTCGTTTCAGCTTCGGTCCGAGCGCGGCCGATGTTATGAGCAGAAGGGCCAATCAAAGAGCGAAATAGGCACAACGTCATGGCGTAATCTCTGCAGTTGATAGGACCAGCCGGTATTCGCCGTTTCTCTGTGCGTGCTGCTCTGCCGGTTAGTTCTATAAAGTGCAGAGAGCACGCCATGACGCTGCGCTTTTTGCGGTGTTTGATTAGCCCTTCGGCTAATAACAGCGGCCGCGCTCGGACCGAAGCTGAAACGAAGTATAGGTACCTCCAAATGCAATGGGTTAGATACGCTGCCACCGGATTGCCTCTACAAAGGCGGAAACGAGTGTTGACCAATTTCAACATTGTTAGTTCCAACTGGGCATTGTGCTTGCAGCATTCGAGAATCTAAATGCTGCGCATTCAAATTAGTTCCATCCTATCTATGCTTCTCTGTTCAACAGACCCCTTTTGAAAGTCACGCGCCAATTACTAGAATGTCGGAACTAAAGTTCCTAGGTGAGAACATTCTACATGTAGCAACATTCTTTGAAGCGCCGACTGCGTGACGGTGCAGGATTTAAGAAGCGAATGGAGGCCCACAGCACAAGACTGAGCTGAACGACGCCATTTTGTTTCTGTGGAATGTGCCTCGTCATTCGTATTTGGTTGTCGTTACTTGTAAAAAGTAGTATCCAGGGACTTTAGTGGGAACCACTGTACAAAGGCGGAACAACTGACATGGTGGAACATGCAAGTCATTCCATGAGATAGCGAACGTGTGTGCGCGGTCAACGCTAGGAGTCTTCGAGCCAATCAAACAGCGTCGAAAGTGCAGCGTCACTGCGATCATCACCTTTTTCTGCAGGTTTGTTTTTTGCCTTCCAATCCAACCCAACGCATAAACTGGACAATGAGGTTGCGGTTTTGTGCCGTCATTGTACAAAGATTTGACAGCTGCCAACAGAGGGCAGTCTTTCGAAAGGGTTCGATAACACTGCCAATGGGCTTGTAGGCATTGGATGCATACGAAGGGAAGGTCACTAACGGCCCCACAAGAATAAGCCTGATTGAGGTGTAATTTTTTATAACCTCCGAAAGTGGATGCACGTCGCTCTTAAGGTCAAGCAAGCTCTTTATTAAAAAAAATACAATAATAATAATAATAATTATTGTAAAAAAACGGCAATTTATATTTGACAGAAATCCATTCTTTTTGTGAACGAAAACCTATATAAATAGAAGTGAATCATGCAAGAAAGAGACGGATATCAAAAACAAAACAAAACGTTCCGTGTGGACGAACTTTGCCTAGGCTTGACAAAAACGCGTCCCCACGAAATTCTGCGGTTTTTTCCCAGCCGCTGACTTTTTTGTGTGACACTTACCTTCTTTTTTTCTTTCGCTACTGTTTCGTAATTTATCCGTGGTGGCAATGCACTCGTATTTTCACAACCCCTTAAGAGTGTATTTAAATCTTAGGCCATAAATGAGTACATAAAATGAATGAATGAATGAAAGGGTGGAAGAATAAGAATATTTCTTGAAATTCGTTCGAATTGTTCAAGCAGACCAGGAGTCTCATGACTGGTAAAACAAAAAGTGGGAAACAGAGTTTACGTAGAGTGTGGAATGAAATCTCGCAACGATGACTCCACACTTTTGTCGGCAAGGTCCAGGCAGTGCTCTCCTCGACTACTGTCTGCCAACCTTGTGTTTCACCAGTCTGGAGAAGCTGAAGTATTTGCGTTGTTTTTTCGGATCAATCTCCTCGCGAGAGCGCGCACACTTGAAAATAACCGTACATTACTAAAACGGCGACAATGACACTGAGTAAAACTTGTTGAATCTGCGGTGTGTTAATTTATTTTTCACTACTTGCAGATCACAAGAAATAGATACAGTCCCATTGCCTTTATTGCTCCCCTTTTCTTTAAATCAAAGCTCATTTAACGCTACACGCCGATGATGTCAATCAAGCAGAGCTGAAGACGCACTGTCATACCACTGAATATCTTTCAGTACGTACGTTATTCCCCGTTGAAGCAATCAATCTCCTTTAATGCGCCATGACCTTGCCATTCTCACTCTGTCCTTCTGCGATTGCGTGTCTTCTAGACTTTGAATCCGTTCTTACTTTTGATGAACCAAAGTATAGAACGCCTTTACAAGAATAAAAAAAAGACATACAAAAGTATGACACGTAGAAAAGGCGAATCTACTTGTCGCTATGTGTTTTTGCTCAGTTTTATTTATTCTGCTTATGCGCCGACTCGTCCAGCTACACCCCTAGAGCTGTTTAATGATCAGATTTCTATTAAGTTGTTAAAACGCAACTGAGAACACTCCGAAAAAAGCTTTCTAAAAACGTTTCATCGCTCCTTGACCTTCGCGCAACGATTCGCTGCCGAGGCGCCCCTGAAGCCACGAAACATTCGCCCGCCATAACACCGTCTCCTCGTCCGACAAGCGTCGACAGGATAAGCTGCGCTTCTCCACCTCGCCGTGCAAGAAACAGACACCCCCCGAGAGGAAAATAAAGAGAAAAAACAGGCGGACTCTTACGAGGTTCGCGCACTCCAGTGTCGGTGGCAGGGGAAAAAGAAGCCTTGGGCTCGGCGTTCTGATGACGACCTTCTTCGAGGTTGCCGAGCAAAATGCGACACAGCAAGGAGAGGGACCGCGCTCGTTTGGAACACAACAGTGCGCTCGGCCGCGCGGCTAGGATCTCGGCTGAGGTGGCTCCGGCGGGCGCCAACCAAAATAAATCCTGACTCAGGCCGCAGAAGCGGGTCGCTTTCATGCTTGCCTCATCAGCCCCGTTCCACCGTTTTGCTTTGTATGTTTTTGTTTTTATTTTTTCTCGTTAGTTTATTTGGCTCAGTTCTGCTTTTTCACCCAATTCCGCGAGCTCGATTTAATTGAGCTGACTGGGCGAGTGCGCAGAATCTCTGTAATCTGGCTCGTCATCTACGGATTAAGCGACGAATGTCCGTCGAGAGTTGTGCGAATGGCTGCGGAGCTTGCACATTTCTTATCACACGCGTGCTTGTACGGTCGCTAGCACACTCACGCTACGCTTAGCTAGATTGGAACACACGTATATAATGAGCCGAATAATCACCACCAGTCACGACAGAAAATCACTGCGCGAACCAACGAGAAGAGGTGGTAGCCTAGGGGAGTTTCGTGTCGTCGGCGTTGCTTTCTTAAATGGCGGCACCATTGATCAATGCGCTATAGCCTGAGTAGCGGCCACCATTCGTTCATTCCTGGTGAAAAAGTGGCAGGCTGTAACAAGGGTATGGAAGAAAAGTTCATCTGACGATAATATCATAATCTCTATATGTTTGCAGGCGAAAACTTTAAACCTTTCTTGCTCTTCTATTTTTTTTTCTACCACATGCACAGGGAAACGCATTGCGATCTACATTCTTAAAAATCATCGTCCGTCTACTCTTGCCTAGTGCACTCGGAAAAGCACTCACCCTGATGTAAACGAAAAAAATTCGGCGAATACGCATGCCAAAAAATATGCTTATGCCATAAAATAAAGGGTACGATGTGACTCCAATCATGACGTCTCACGTGCTAACGACATTCTTGTCGCCATATCGTAGAAGACAGTTATAAGTCTGCATTTGTTTTATATATATGATTCACAATTTTTTTTTTCTCTCTCTCTAGAAAGCAGTGATTGGGTCTCCAAGTGCTCTGCAGGGAAAGAGCACAAACGTTGGGGAAAGTGTATAAATAGGACGTCCACCAAATGATAAGGTCCAACACGGTTCGCGACAAAACACGCTTTGCTCAAGGTCTGTGCGAATTTTGAACGTCACGCTAACATTTAATTAAACCGCAAACTAGGTAGCTTCATATACCCTCTTTGTCTTACTAAAAAGCCGGTATGCCTGCTTCTGCTTTCTTCAATAAGACGTGGTTTTGCAGTCTACGGAGAGCGACCAGCGAATTATGAAATGCCCAGAACATTATTACTCAAATACGTCAATAAGACGTTGATATACTAATAGGGAATTTATGGTAAAATGCTTTGGGCTCCGACAATGACCCCTGCATCGATAGGAAGCATGTGCATAAGCCCGGGCGCAATATCGGATATTATTACCGAGAGGCAAATACCGTATACTAAAACTTAATAATATCATTAACCATATAGATAAAGACAACAAAGGACGTTGACGACAAGACGAAAGTTTTTCTGCCAGTTGAAAAATTGAGTCATTGGCTTTCCGCCCTTTTTGTCATTCCTTTCTTTTTATATCAGTATCTCAAGTGGAATTAATAGCCTGACATTCGTCAGACCCTTCGCCAGTGCATAAAAGGAGCTGCTCAGCCAAACCGTATTCTGTGCGTCCTCATTCACTGCACAGAACCGAAAACTCTTCGTGATTGGTCCTCTGCGTGCTTTGCAAGAAAGTCGAAAATAAGCATTTCTAGAGTACGTAGATTTATCAAATCAAAATGTTCTGATACCGTAAAAGTAGAGTTGTACAAATAACCTCTACCATTCACTTACCCGGTGGCCGAATGATAACTGTACCCTCGGGAGTTTCCAAAGGGTCGCTGATCCCGACTTCGTTCCAGGCATAAATCCGTACAAGGTACTCATGTCCTTCTTCCAAATCTTGAATGTGTGCCCTAACTATTGGTGCGATTACTTGGCAGACCTGTAAAATTATAACAAAATATGACTATGAACATTTAGGGCACTGACACTTTTTGCAATGAACGCAACATGATAGATGTCATAAACGATCGAGGCACCTACCGAAAATTATGATGCTGTTAGCCCTGTGAATTATGTTAATTGCCATTTATAGATTATATAAGTCCGTGATGAGCTCGTATTTTATCGAAAAACTAAATTATTTTCCGCCTGATGAAATACAATATGACTTTAATTGTAGCTTTCCTATTCTTGGGTGGTGCCAGCCGAACACCACCAGACACAAAAATGAATTACCGCTGAATTATCGACTATATTGAAGCCTTCTCCTTCCTTTACTACGATTAGCAGTTACAACCTCGATCAAAGTCCTCTTCTTTCCTATTTACAAACTTACCTTCCTTATTAACAAACTGAAGTGAATTCCCCGTCCTCCACTTCAATCCTTAATTACAAATGCGGAGCCTCCTCGTGTCGTTCAGGACCCCCACAGAAACTATTTATCTAGCAGGTGCAGCGTCAGTATGGTCCCTAGAAAGACTGGCTAGTCTTGTTCCAACGCCCGTCTCCACGCAGCGGCACGGCAGCGCCGTAGATGAAAGGTTTTCGAAATATTTGTTTTCCTTTATTTATTTCGGGGTTCGCCGCGTAGGGGGCAGAAATAAAGGCGTGGTGCCTGTCAAAGCTTCTGCCCTCTCAAGTTCAGCAGCTCAAAATACGTACATTATAACAGATTCTGCAAAACATTTTACAATTCAAATAGAATAAAAAAAACAATAAGTAAAAAAAACAAGGAAAAATAAACACTACATTCATTTGGTAAAAGAACACTATATACGTCAGTAAGCATTGGCCGTGAAAAATCGAAAACAAAAACAACAAACAAAAAACTAGAATGCCATCTTATGTACCTCCGACATGTCAACATCAACAAGAAGATGAAGGTATACAATGTAAATATATATCTTTGAAAGCAGCTATACCTACTGATTATATTCTTGGTGCAGTACACAATCCAAATGAGAATACATTTCACTGCCAACCAAGAAACTTCTCCAATTCATTTTAAAACCAAGGGGTGCTGCGCGCAATCGGCATGCTGTCGTAGCTGCTACCTTCCTCACTATCTACCTTCTTCAGTCTCAACGAGCTGATTGCGAACATTATTGTTGACTTCTGTGCCTTCTTAACAAGGGCAGATTTACCTTTGCTAGGCTGTGATGTCCATGCAGATGCAATAACAGCACGCATACTCAAGTTCTTTTTCCACCTTTCTCCGTCTTTACACCAAAGCAATGGACAACGAGAGGACAAGAAGCTAAGAGCGGCTGAGGCGTTTGAACTTTAGAAGGTGTAAATAATTAATCTGCGAATTGCTCATTTGCTTGTGTCGGTCATAATTTCTCCAGACATCTTTTGTGGCTTGGTAACTGCGAAATTCTGGCACACCGATTGCTCGCAACGCCGCCGGGCGCTTTCATTCCGGAGAAGTCACCGAGGGGGGCAGTGGAAGGTTGCCTAGCCACTCTTTCTAGGGACCATAGCGCCAGGGAACGGGCACTGAAGCATTCATCTTTTATTCGTTTTTTTTTCTGCTTTTCACCAGGATCTTGATGTTTTGCAAACTTGCAGTGCACCGGCATTGTCGACAATGGACTGAAAGATGTCCTCCTGCTGAGATGTTCCTTAATAAAGCAGCATGTTCACTTTGTCCGGCTACTGATGCAACGGCTGGTTCGGCCCATGTCGCTTCAACCGCATGATGATGGGATGCTGTAAAGGACTCATTTTTCACACCAAGTGTACTTTGTCCTGCAAGCAATGCCAAAAAATTCTCCTTTGAAATATCACTCCTGGTTTACCTTGCGATACAGAATATGCCTTATTCAACATCATGGGGAAGCCTAAGAAAAAAGGCAAAAAAAGTCACGAAAGCCTATAGTGATAGCGCCTTATATCCACGCATCACTTGCAATTGAAGAAGACTGCCGGATGGCAAGGCGTCCACATTGTGTGCTGCGCGCCAAATAAGGCGTATTTTATGTGTCGCAGGGTAAACCTGCAGGCTGGAGATTTCAAAGTTTGAAGCACTACTTACAGGAGAAAGTCGACGTAGTCTAAAAAATAAATCATAAATAGCATCCAATAATCCCGTAGTCGATTCTACATCGGCCAAACCGTTCGTTGCATCAGTGATCGGTCCAGAGATCATGCTACTTTATTAACGAATATCTCATCACGAGAACATCTATCAATCAATTGTCGAGAATACCGTTGAACTGCAAGTTTGCAAAACATCAAGGTCCTGAACAAAAAAAGTCGAAAAACTTGCGCGTGAAATCCTTGAGGCAAAGGACATTCATGAAAATGAAGATGAATGCGTCAGTGCTCCTTCCCCGGCGCTGCAGCAGCAAGGGAAACTGTATCTGTGGAGGTCCTTAAGGACACGAAGAAGCTACGCGTTTGTAAATAAGGATAGAGCTGGAGGAACAAGGCTTTAATCTGGTTTATAAATAAAAAAAGAAGCTGGCTTCAATCCACGATGAAAATACTGATAGTAGTGAAGGAAGAAGAAGGCTTCAATATAGTTCATATCCAGTGGTTGCCTATTTTTATGTTTATCAATGTGCAGCTGGCACCATCCAAGAATATAAGCCAACTATTTTCCTCAGCTTCAACCAGTAGTAGGTTTCATGTGTATAAGGGTAGATAGCCCGGTAGTTTCAATATACTGCCTGCGTGTTGAGTGAATATATTAACTTAGACACAAACGCTTAGGTGACAGAGCGATAGAAAGGGAGATGAGAGAGTGTAGTTTATACTTCAGTAGTAATCATTCAGAAAATTAATCACCGAAGCCCCACATAAGTGTGAACTTGTAGGTTAGAAAATTTGTTTTGAATGACGGAAAATTGGTATTAAAAGCCAAAATTGGTCAGTTCCCCTCCGTTTTACCTTAAATACTGCCACAGCCGACGCTCCTCTCCGGTGGAGGCAATCAACCAGCGCCAAAAGTGCATTGTCACGACGCTCGTTCTCATTATGGATTTGTCATTACCAACTGAACCAATCACGCACAAAAATGCACAGAACTGTGGCGCATTTATCCTGCGAGA